GCTAGCTAGAAGGCTAACTTGATAGATAGATAGATATATAGATAACCAGCTAGCTAGCTAGTCAGCTAGCTAGCTGTTTCTCCTTGCTAGAGAGCTAGCTAGCTAGCTAGCTAGCTAGGTTTCTTAGCTAGCCAGCTAGCTAGCTAGTTAGCTAGCTAGTAAGCTAGCTAGCCAGCTAGCCAGTTTTCTTAGCTAGCCAGCTAGCTAGCTAGCTGAGACTCCTCCGACTCCGCTGTGGAGAGTCGGGGTCCTGCTGCAGTGCTGCAGCAGCAAAAACAGAGAAGTGAAGCAGCAAGAAGAAGAGACAAAAAGGAGACAGAAAGGAGACAGAAAGGAGACAGAAAGGAGACAGAAAACTAGAGAAATAAAAGGAGACAGAGAAAAAGAAACAAAAAAGGAGACAAACAAAAGATAAAGTGCTGCTGCAGAGAAACAAACAAAAATGGAGGAGCAGCAGCAGCAGCAGGAGACACCCTCCTCACTGCAGCAGCAGCAGCAGCAGCAGCAGCAGCAGTTGCTGCTGCAGCAGCAACTGCAGCAGCAGCAGCAGCAAGATGCTGCTGCTGGATTTTTGCCGTCAGAAGAACACACAGCTGCAGCACTACCAGCGACTCAAGCAGCAGCAGCAGCACCAGCAGCAGCAGCAGCAGCAGCAGCAGATACAGCTGCAGCAGCAACTGCAGCAGAAGCAACAGCAGCACCAGCAGCAGCAGCAGTTGCCTCACAATCAGCAGAACGCATATCTGCAGCAGCAGCAGCAACAGCAGCAGCAGCAGCAGCACCGCCCCCGTCACCCTCTTCATCATCAGCAGCAGCAGCACCAACAGCAGCAGCAGCAGCAGCAGCAGCAGCAGGAACAGCAGCAGCAGCAACAGACCTGCTGCTGGGGGCTGGGGGCCCCCCCCCCACCATAGAAGAGCAAATCAACGGCCTCCTAGACACACTATGCGAAAGGGGGGCCCTCACTGTCAACAAGTAAGCTGCTGCTGCTGCTGCTGCTGCTGCTGCTGCTGCTGCTGG